CCAGTTTTATTTGCGTGGACTAGAAAAGAATTCAAACGAGATGTAGTTTGGATATTAGACTGTTTCCGGCAAATAATGGAAGACACCTCCAAAACAGAATCCTTCATTATGGATTGTGCGCAAGCTGAAATAGCAGCCGTCAAGTTAACGCACAGACAAGCGCACATTGTTTTGTGTTCTTTCCATGTTTGCCGAGCTTTCTGTCGTAAAGTAAGTTTTTCAAAGCATACTTTACATTTTATTCGTAGACAAGAAATCCCATTGTGAAGAATTATTTATGCCGTCTAGTGCAGTGTAAAAGGAGATCAGAGTAATGCCTCTATTGTTCTCATTTTGCAGATTTAATTTCTACTTCAGAGTTATTAGCAGATTGGATGCTAATGTCAGTCAATATCTACAACGTCGTTGGATGCATCGACGAGAATTGTGGGCAGCATGTTTCAGAGACAACGTGCTGACTTTTGGGAATGATACAAATAATCGCGTCGAGAGTTCCCACAAGCAAATGAAACGGTATTTGCAAAGATCTGATAGTCTGCATAAAAGTATGCTAAAGGTGTATAAATGGTATAAACGAAGTTTTTCAAGAATACAGCAGGAGGCGAATATTGCTCAGTCACGATGCTTCACGTATCCCTGTTCACAACGTCTAATCCCAATTATACGATTGCTGACGCCATACGCCGCGAGGAAGGTAATACGTGAATACCAATGGCGACGATGGGCTATTGTTGAGTTTGAATCCTTTGATTATGTATTCTTCAAAGAAAATGGGAATACAGTGGAGGTTGATCTGAGTGCTTGCACCTGCACGTGCTTTACATTTCAGACCTGTCGGTACCCCTGCCGACACTTGCTTTTGGTCCACTTCAGAAAGCCGTATTTCACAGGTATATTTGCGTTTTTATGACTCCGTTTTTAATTTATGTCGACCGAAATTTAATTAATTAATGTTCTTATATACGGAAAGTTGTACTTTTTATTAACCTATTCGTGTGTACATTGCCTTAATTGGAAACAAGACACAAGCACTACCATCATTGCACGTGTAATATTCAGTTCATAGTTATCTTTACGTTTTTTGTTTCACCTTTTGTAGTTAACCATGTGATGCAGAATTGCAAACAATGGGCGTGGTCACGCAACTTGTTCGCATCTCAATGCACGTCAGCTGTTGTCCCTCGAAATCGAAGTGGCCCATTCGAAACCTATATAAGTATTGTGACTAAGGGCTTGAGGAAAATTAATGACAAATTTGGAGATGTGTTTGCCAGGAATTATGCTGTAGAAGTAATCGCAGGAATCAATCGTACTCTGAATATGTGAATAAACTGAATTTGTATCATAATTAAAATACAATTTTCATGTCAATCTTGTTGTCTTTCGATTCATGTGTTCCCTTATTGAGCACGGCATGCTAGACCGGTGCTCTCTAGGACTTTAACTATACGTAAGTGTAATTGCGTAGGAACGATGTCGGTCGTCATGCGTCATAGTCATATAGAAGTCTTTAGGGCCAAATGACAATAGTAGGCATAACTTAGGCACTGCATTCGAGTTCCAATTCTTATACGGTTACGTGTATTCTAAAGTATTGCATTACTAATGTTTTACTTAAAGCGTGATGTCATTCCATATGACTAAGGCTGTTAACATGTAGCGTAAATTAAAGTCTACACCAGACAAATTATTGAATTCGTTTAGCTTTAGCAATCGTGTTTAGATTTAGCTTACACTAAAATATGCAACCAATTACTTCGTCAGTTCTTATTAATAAGTCATGTCTGTATCTAGTCAGCATGACAAATATATCTACACTCAGATAAAATAAAAACGGTCTGGTAAGCAAGATATTAAATGTATTTAATGAAAAATAATAACAAGCAAATGTCTTTACGCAGTCGTTGGTCGTAATAATTTGTGCAATGTCGAATCTCTGTGACTGGGGTGACTGACGTTACCGGATATCTACAAATAAGTAAACAAAGTGTTTTTTAAATAGCTGAAGTAAGGAAGAAGTAATATTAAAGGTAAACGCTTTATATCTGCCTACCTTTGCTGAAAATGGTTCATTCTCCTTTCTCATTCTTTGGTAATGACATCATTCTTCTGGGGTTTTCACTGCCACACACATTATTCCTCTTCTAAAGGATAGCAGCAAGCATATAGTAATAATTTCATATTTCGTATAAACCAATGTTTACAAAGAATGCATGTCATTTCTACAGGCGCAATAAGTTATGTTATAAACTGCAATCGTGAAGTATCATAAATTATAAGAGTTAAATTGTGAACCCTTAACAATGAACACCGTACATTTGGTTAAGTGCTATGTCCTTGGAATGTGAGTATACATTTGCAATGTTTAATGCCAACCATATTGGTGTAAACATAGAAAATATGACGTTTTCCATGAAAATACAGCTTTGTTCCAACACTGGTGTTGTTGTGTTTCTAATAAAAGCAAATAGACTGTAAGCAAGCAACTAATAGGCACAAAGAGTAAGTCTCAGCTTTAATAAAGGCATATCCAGTTAACATAAAATGAAGTGTAATAGTGCACAAATGAAAAGACCATAGTGAAGTAGATAAGTGATATTTCAGTGAGAGGTAAATTGAACTATCTGCAACCTTACAATTTGGAAGACAACCTGACATGTAAGATCTCTCACAAATTTCTATAGGGCCTGTGGGGTACCATGGATGGTTTGGCGTCAATCGCAGCTTTGAAAGGATGACTTACAAATGCAAAAGGTAACAACCAACGAAACTGCAGTAGTATTTTCTAGCTGTTCAGCATTTTTTCCTTTGATGCAGTTTCTTATCAACAGTTTGCAGTATTCAGAACATCACAAGTTGCTTACAGATAACTTGTTAATAATAACTGCTTTAAATATATCAGCCATAAGATGCATCTTCTACATATTTCATAGCCACAATTAAGTCATTAAGGATCTCAGATTATCTTAGTGATGTGAAGCAAAATAATTTCTAAGATTGATATAACCTATGTAACAGGTGTAGTAGTTGTATGACACAGCCGCTAGCTACTAATCGACAGAAATCTGGTACTAATTTTAAGTTCTCTGACATTTGAGAAGGACTATTTATACTATTCTTCCAGACACAATGAACACTGATGTCAATATACTCTGATGCCATTTCATGCACTGAGCAATTAAGGCTTTGTGAAATTCCTTGTGCAAATGTCAATTAAACTATTTTTACATCTTCGCCAAAGCACTTTTAACTAGGGACTTCATCAAAATAGATATAATCACCAGGAAATTCAGCAGCCTATCTCATTCATCGCATAATGTCGTCAATGTGTTATGAGTTATCCATTGTCATCACGGATGATAACAGAAAAGTTTAACATGTTCAAAGCACACATCTAACCTATGTCTGCATGCTATTTCTCTTTCATAGGCCAGATTCTAATAGATTCACTGGAATGACAACAGCCACTGACTGCAGTATATTTACAACCTTACGATCTGAAACAACTCTCAAAAAAACAAACCGTCAACGCACTATAATGCAAATAATAGTCTTTCTATGCGAACTCTCTTAAAAAGGATTACTTCTTCATTGATAATTCGTCCGAGCTATAATATACAATTTTACGCTCTACTAAGAACAAAATACAGCAAAATACTGCCATCCGGCTACAGAAGTCTAAAACTAGTGAAATATAATCTATTTCCAAAAAAATAGGCGATTATAACGTCTGTTGACGTGAGCGCGGTAACCGATGGCATTGCGCGATAACACCTGGTGTCGGCCTATATCCCCACACGTGACTAAATGGTTATGAAAAATCCTATTAACCGCCATGCGTTTCAAACTTTAGGGATAAATAAATTGATCGTTGACGTTGAAATGGCCAAGGTTCAATTGAGCTGATGAACTTCTTTGATCACTCACACAGGTAGAATTCTGATGTATCGTCGTTTTATTTTGTGCTTCGCAATTTAGTCTACTCTTCAAAAGTTCCGCTTGAGGATCATCAAATTTTGAAGCTTCACTGCCCAAAGGGCCTTAAAAAATTTGACTTTCCGGCAGTCGTGTCACGACTCGCCTAATTCCAGTGACTCAGACTCATTTGACATGGCCTTTGGATCTGGAACTATTTGTTTGTATCATTTTGAGGGAAATGAGTGGCTCATTGGATAAATCGAGTTTGCTATGCCTGACATTTCTGTTCCTGCGGTAGCGGCATTTTTTTCATCTTTTAAAGACATATCTTTGTGGTAGTTTTGCCTGATTTTTTGCGTGAAACCAAATCACTGCATTCACCGGCGTCTTATTCTCCGTCTGACTTTGGTTCTGGCTATTTACTATGTACTTGTGCTGTAGATGGGTCTAAAACTGTAGTTAAGGCTGCTTATACGGTTACTTTAGCTGCAGGTCTCCAATCCCTGTTTTAATGACCAGAGGCGACTCTCAGCTAAAGCTTCCTGATAATGGTTCATCGAAGATCCTTATGGCATCATTGATGTCGGAGCACTGGTCATTTTCCCCCTATGAAGAAGGAACTTTGGAGACAAGAAGCTTCGGTTCATTGGCTCCGTTTACGCGGTGATCTTGCGAAATATCCAGGTTTTATGAAAATTACAAACTTCTGGAAAGCAATCATCCACAATTAACCTCAAGATTTACAAAACTGGCCTTAAAAAGAGCATCTGGAAGTTAAAGATTGTCTTTGAGGTTTTGTAGTGCGCCTCAAAGCAAGGTGTGGCCAAGCTACAAAAGTTTACTTAGGTTCCTTCTACAACACTTTCTGTGTTAACTGGCCAGTTATCTGAAGTTACCGCATTTCTAATTGTCGATGTCTGAAAAGAGTGTTATTGTGTCTGCTTTCTTCTAAACCCCTGTATTTTTATATCTTGAATATATTTTTCACTCGAATGAAGGCAGCACTTCACCATTGAAGATTTTCAAGGTTTGAAGCTGGTTCAACTTCCTGTCACACTTAATTATTGTGCGACTTTCGAAAAATGGTGGAAGTCACGCCCTTAGAGTCGAAAATCATCAAGCAAGTCGAGGTAGGTAATTGGTACTTGTCTCTCCTTCTAAATATGTAGTATTACTTTGGAGATGTTAATCTATCACGTGATAAATTCCTGAGAGAAGCTATTAAGCAAAATGATGGCTGTAAGTTCATCATAGTAAATTGTCATTCTCTGCCTAGGGGTTTCTATGGATACAATGTTGAAATTTAAACGGCTTAAGTCTCTTTCGGAAGATGCTGAGTTCATCAAAAAGTCTTTGTCCAAATCCGACTCTGGATTGATCGAAGTTGGAGCTGATGGTGTCCGTAGAAATCCTGAATTGAAAGTTCCTGAAACTCTTCAATCGACTATGGAGAATTACAAAGATAACAGTGTATACGTCAAAGGATTTAATTCTGATGAACAACTGGATGTGATTATTGAATGGCTTGAAAAGCATGGGGGGAAAACATTGGATGTACACATGCGTAGATATCCTCGTGACAAGAAATTCAAGGTAACATATAGTGCCACGATTTTCTAAAATTATAGGGAAGTGTGTCCGCAATATTTGAGAAGAAAGAAGATGCTGATAAATTCTTAGCTTCTGAAGAAGCTGCAACTTTCAAGGATAAAGAAATGACGCGATTGACTCAGTAAGCTTTAGTAACTTTGCTAAATTCATGTGCATTTTCTCACTGTGCTCATTGCTATATGTGAGAAGTTAGTTGTTTAGATTACCAACAAAGTCGGAGATAGGTAGGTTGAGCGAAAATGACCAGCGTATTCTGTAACATTCTCCTAATCCCAACGCTGAGTTGCAACAGCACATTATCCAGAAAGCGTAGGTTAGGATAGATCTGACTTCTCGTTGAAAGCGTTCATCAATAGAGCTGATACTACTGAATCAGTTAAGAAGTTTCAATCGTTGACCACTCTGAGAGAACTCGAATTACACAATTATTTCATTCGTCCGCGATTTGAGCACCGTTATGCAATGACCTCGTAAAAATATCTAAGAGATGAAAGATTAGAAGGGTTAATACCTCGATCACCCTTGAATATACGGTGTGTGCCAAAATTAAGTCACCCTTCCTCCTTCCGTATGATAATAGCAAGAGAACTGTAAATGCTCCATCCTTATGTCGTGAAAGAGGTGTGTGGGATACTACTGACTAATTTGGTTCTTACCCGCTGTACGTTTTCCAAGATATGTGCCTCTTCCTTGCAGCATGGACTCATCACTTGTATGCAGTATTCATTCTAGAAAAAGGCTGATTTAGAGTAGAGTACTTTGAGTAGATTCAGCTAGTCGTTTGAAATTTCGTAGTGCCCATACCATTCAAAACGCCTCAGCAACTGTTTATAACCGGCCAAATTTCAAACCATGTCATATACATCTCGCTTGGCAATTCGGGTATTTTCCTAGGAAGCCTACAGTTTGTGTAACAAGTTTCAGATTGTCATTTTTACTTAAACAATTGCTGTCATTCATTCGCAGTATTCATGTTAACCTGGTACAATATGGTGAGTTTAGGCTTAGAGAATTAGATGATTAGGAAGAGGATAAATACACTGATGATTCAGCTTGCTCAGGGATGTGTCGCTGATGCTTAGCCATCGCCTCCAGCACTCGATGGACAATGCTAACTGACTGGCATTGAGTTGGAAATAAGTTAGGTGAGGAGGGTCGAACCAAAGAACGTCACAATATTTCATGGTCTTAAAGATATTGGTGATATTGGCTCAAAACACTCGTCCTCAACGGCTGACGAAAATGCATTCACTCTTTGTGTGATATGTCATGTCATCCAGTAAAACTTTAGTTCTATATCACTGTTTTTTCGCTCTACACTTGCATTTATCATTTCTCGTGATGAATCTCTTTATTCCTCTTGCTGTGTGATACATGGAGAGTGACTACCCAGTGTGGACATCCGTGCAAGGTAGTTCCATGTTGGAACCAGTATGTCATGACTTTCCATTAGATAGTTTGGGGCAAATGGGTTAATTTCGGAGGCGTGGAGTGGGATCTCACTGGTTTCAAGATGAGTCACAAACTACCTTCAGTTCGATTGGTAATTCGCCGAATCCCGACTTCTAAATTCCTACATCAACCTTATTTTACGTATTTGTATACATATATGTGCGCGGTAAAAGTTTCTTAATCTCTAACCCCTCCAGAAGTGAATACAGGAAACGTAAACAAGAAGAAAAAGATGCTAAATTGGCTTCCCAAGCTAAACGACAAGCGGCGTTCGAAGCAAATCAGGAAGCTCAGTTGAATTCCCGTATGATTCCTGGAGCATTGCTTGAGATAACTGGTCTTCCAGAGGCTTCAAAAAGTGAGTATTTCATATACATCATCAAATGTCTTTGTTCATATCTGAGTGGTTTTCCACGTACTTTTGTAAAAATAGAAGGCAAGGCGTGAAAGCCAAGGTACATTTCCCAGTAATCGAACCGCTGTTTATGTATAAACAGTTTATATTCGTTAAATAATCACCGAGCGTATGATCTTGTCTTACATTGAATGACAAAAGAGAATGTGCAAACCTACATAGTATTTTGTTGCCAATGCCATATTGAACTGTGGGAATATGTGAGAATACTATTCCGTTGGAATACATTGTCCGTATCACACCACCACACTTAGATTGAGCACTAACCAGTAGGAAATGCGATGTCTGTAGTCTTTGGTGTTTTGGTGCATACTGAATTCCACCAAGCAAGTTTGCCATGTGGCCACCATCAAGCTAAGTGGCTCGACATTACGATGCACTGTGAATGTTATTACGTATATATATTACATTATTGTAATATAAGTAATATTATTGCTTTCCATCCCAAGTGAACAGAGGGCTTCAGCAGGCGAGGGTGAGTACATATTGATGTCTGCCTGCTTCCTGCAGTCATTTATCCAACTGATACCAAAATTGCTAATAGACTTTCGCATTCTCCCTGTCACTCACACAATCTCTATACGCCACAAAATGGCATACGCATCTAACCCATCGTTTCTCATTCGAGTGTGATGTGCCACTGAACTGTCTTCTCAGCTTATTATAATTATTGTGTCCTTTTTAGCTGGTCAGCCCCACTGTTGCCCACAGTCACTCACCTTACTATACGATCTTCTCCACGTCACCCTCGGACGACCCAATCGTCGTTTGCAACATTTGTTCCACTTGAACCATGACTTAGTGCGCAAAGTCACTTGACAGTCTGTTCAGTGTGTGTCCAATGCATCTCCATTTTCTCCTATATGTTTGTTGAGCAATAGGTCCTTGGTTGGCTCGTTGTCTGCCAGAGTTTCTTGTGACTAATTCTTTCGGGCCATTTGAAGGCAGCTGTTGGTGAAAGCCTGAAACCTGCTGGAAATCCTTTTCGTGACACACCAAGTTTCTGACCCGTAGAGAAGGACCGACTTGACATCAGTGGTGATCATGAGAGTCTTGTTCCTTATGCTAAGTTAGTGCAGATTTCCAAACTGATTTCAGGTTAATGTAGGCGTATTCCCTGGTTTTCAATAGTGGGTTCTCTAACTGATATCAATCCGCAACCAAGCGTGAAATAAATCAAATACCTACAAAACACCCTTGAAATAAGTTCATTAAGTTTCCCAGATGTATATATATATATATATATATATATATGAGGTGGTACTATCATTATCTATTTTGTCAACTTATCAGCACTGCGTACAACCTGAATATATTATTAATTTTATGTGCAGAAATAATTATGACATGCTTGCAAATATGATATGACATTATTACAGATAATGACAAGAATAGAGATAACTCTGCCATTTTTTAAACTCCGATAATTCCTGACTGTTATGGTCTTCATTGACAAACCTAGAAACAACTGAGGCCAAAAGTGACGATGCTGAAAAACCAAACGAGAAGGAGGAGACTGAGGAGAAGGAGAAAGAATCCACAGAAGCAGATTCTTGCAAAAATGGTCACGAAGATGAGGAAATGCCGTCAGTGATGAATTTGAAACAATGGTTGGCTGAAAAGGTAATTATTATTATTTGTTTATTTTGCTATTGTAACTGCTACTTTATAATAGCTCTTACATCATCCTCTTTTTTATTCTTTAATGTGTAGTGCTGTCTACACGCACTGCTAGCAACTCCATGCAAGTCTTCTCTGTTGACCGATGTCCTTTGACAAGCACTGGGTTTGATAAGGTTGAAAATGAGAGTTAAGGCTGGGTGGTGGTGGTGGTCAAATCAAAACCTGGCATTACCAGTCCATGAAATCTCTGACAACCTGATCCGTTTAGGGAGGAAAGTGCAGACTGCCGACTGTCTGACTGACCAGATTGGGGTCCTCGGCGCGTTCAGAACTAATCACGTCTGGAAACTATCTTGGTGTGCCTTGAAAATCCCCATTGGAGTCATAAAAGAAAAGGCGTCCAGCAAAGAGTTACTCTTTTCGGCGACATCATTCTCTGAGCTGTACAGTGGCATATATGTATATACATATATATTAAATTTTCTTATCAACAAAGTGAACATTTCAGGAACGTGTCATTAAAATTGTGTTTTTAGATAACCAATTACGTAAGTTACAAAGCGTTAATCGGGTAAAAACTAAAATCATCGACGCGGTGCAGAAGTATTCAGCTAGAATTGAACGAGAGTCAAGCTAACAACATTGGAATTAAGAGGTAAATATTCAGTAGGGGGTGTGGGAAAGTAATACAATTAAGAAACAAAAATAACGTATTCGGTGTTAAGATATGCAAATGCATTCACCCGTTGCGTGTGGATCTCTTGTTGATTTTTAGCATACGGACGATATTGTTCCTTCCTAAAATGCAACAGACTCTTCTGTAAACACCTTGAGAGCAGCAACAACCTTCGAATGTTGACAGGGGCGCGTTCCCGTCCAAAGTGTGTAAGATAGTGATACATGACGTGACTGAACTACACTGATTCCTAGGTAATCGTGATCACAACCACTTCACACTTGTGTATAAAGTTGTTGACTAAATCTCAGCAAGGATACAAAATGCTCGCATAACTTTTGACAACTTGTTATCTCTGGTGTAGACGTGACTGATATCCTACTATCGTTCAAAGAATGTGTGTATGCTGCACAGCAGCTGCTGGCTGGGTTTGACACAGAACTACTTTGCATAGAAATGCATCTGTTCAACTTACCCCATACTTTCCCTCCATGTAGAGCAAACAAAGGAAGGCAAAACAGGTGAACACAGACTCGAAAAAATGAAAATGAGCACAAATGTGAGGAAGGAAGAAGGAATAGTAACATGGCAGAGTGAATGCACTTCAGCTAGTGACAACGACTTTGTACCATATCACCAGTAGTCTCCAACAGTCATTGATTCTTATCATCCTGAAAACCCCAACCAGGTAGGCAGGTGTCCTACACCTCCTTATGTGGTTTCGTTTGCTTCTGGGAGTGTGTGGGTGGTGGTGACTTCCGGACTGCCTACACACCGACGGTTTTTTTCTTGGGATATCTGAAACAGAAGTAGCACTAGTGTCGCATGACCAGAGACAACTGCTTGAAGCTGCTCACACATGGCCTGTTTGATGAATTTGTTTTTTAGTTTTTGTATTGATAACATACTGCCGGCTATGACCACCTCAGGGAAAGCTGAGATGCATAATTTCCGGGGTCAACCTTTTCTCAATCCCTAGAGCAGAGACAACATAGCTGGTTAGCATATTGGCCACCTTACTGCTCTTACATCCATGCTCCCCACCATTATGACTTTTCCCACGGACTCCAAACATACCGTAAACATCGTACACACTATACCGTTAACTGCTTTTAGTCGATTGTGACTGCATAAAGCGTTAGGTTAGGAGAGGGAAGTCAATCGATGAGGTTGTGATGAGGTAGTTTATTGATTGAGATGGACAGGTCACAAGTTACGCATGTTGGCTCAGCCTGTCGCCTTCCTCGAAAGCAATATTAACTGAATACGTAGGATTAGTTTTGGTGAAGGGTAGTTGTAGTAGGCAAATAAAGGTTAGGTTAAGACAGCCACGTAGGGAGGAATTTTAATCTATATCAGACTAATTGTCTCCAGCCATCATTGGTTCTTACCATCCCGAGAACCCCAGCTAGATAGGCTGTTACCCTTCTGCGCAAAATAGTTCTATATTGGGGAAGTCAGTCCGTCAGTCAGTTTTTATATTTATGTCACATTGCGGTATATATTTCCTCATGCTGTTTTGTGGTCTGTATTTTTACTCTCTTTCCCTCCCTCTCCTCTGTCCCACATCCTCCCAGTTGGATTCAAGTATGACTGTTGGATGGATTGATATTGAACCGGCTGAGGGGAAAGCAATAGTCCGTTTCAAGCAACCGAATACAGCTGAAAAAGCATTGGCCAAACTGAAAGAAGCCTCTGGTGGTGACGACTGCCCTGTCAAGTATATGAATAGTGAACTGTCATTCCGTGTACTAACTGGTAAGTGAGATGACCTAAAATTTCAGCTTTTTTGCATTCATTATTATCGACCGTGGAGGATCTCGCTCAGCAGCTATAATAAGTTACCAGTATTTCCCTTGAGTTCCTCCTAGTGGGACTGGGGCACATCGTAGTACGTCTTTTGGTTCTCTTCCTCCGAAATTGCCTATTTCCTTCTAAACTTAAACACACTGGGTCCTCGATGTCATATCGGGACAGAACCAAGCCCTTCCCCAGTTTGTGTATTTCTCTATTCTGGTTGTTTGGTTCAACTCAAAGACTTGGCTGGGGCACCATGTTGATGTCACTGTAAGGTATATCAGATCTACGCGTGAAGTGCGTCAAGTTTCTGAAGCCTATGAAGCAGCAGCTGATAGTGACATAACTTTGTGAAAATCGACATGTTGTTCGCTATGCTGTGGTGGAGTGCGGTAGCTTTCCGTACTGATTGGCTTCAGAATGACGATGAAGATCTGCCTTGCTTGCTTTTCCGATTCTGCGTTTGGTGCCACTTAAGTATGAAATGAGGTGTGATTGATGTTTGTTGTTGCCATTATTGTCGGTCATTGGAAGGGGGAGTATCTTCATCCCCTCTGTCTTCTTTATGTCCACTCGAAGTGTCCTACCAAAGTGTCGATTCTTTCACCTTTAGATCTTCGAGTTTGTTTTACATTCACGTGAAGTCCAGATCTTCCACTGTCTTCACACTCCCAACCCCAAGGTTTTTCATAATCCAGTCTAGCACCATAATCAGGAATTCCTATTCTAAGGAACACGAGTGCCATCATTTAATTACTGTATCATGTTTAAGATATGCATTTTTGTTGAGACCCAGTGTGGTAATTCGTTAGGTTCTCTTAGCCCTGATCCTAAGTCTGAAAAAATGAGTGACTGGTTTAACGTGGGGCTAGCAACTCTCTTGAACCTTGGAAAATCTCTCCAATCGCTAGCAGACTTATTCTTCGCTGGAATTATGAAAGACGTAATGACACTTCGTGGCATGGTGAAAGCCTTTGGTAGGCTAGCCAGCCAACCAGCCAGTATCTCTTCTGATGTGAAATAAGGTTGGGCAGACAGAATTTTCGTATAATATACTCAAAGCTGAAAAAGAAAGGCTACCCTGATTGCCAAATGAAATAAAAAGTTATGCCAGGGATGAGGATGTCAAAACCAGCCAGAATCGACAAGGCATGGCAGATCTCCATTACTTTTGGAAATCAGTTGGATAAGTCCAATCGTCATCACATGACGGACGAGAAGGGATAAGTGACAGAACCAACCAAAAACCTTATCGCTCAACAGATGTATAGAAGAAAGTGGGACGAACATACTCTAAAGAGAGTGTTGGAAGTGACATCGCTCTCCGGGCCCCCGAGTTGGAAACAACGACTAGTAGTCGCTTATGGCTCCGATGGTGTGACATGGGAAGATTGTGTAAGGCCAGATGAGTGTGTATTGTCAATCGTGGAACCAGCCAGACAGCCGACCAAGAGGAACTGGACAAATGGAGATACTGCGCTTCGCAATTAAAGCCGTATATTTTCCACTCAGAACCGAAGGGAATAATAATATGATTGAGGCGTCATCAGGTAGAGACTGTATTTTGAAATTGACAGACTGATGTATAATGTAGTAAAATTATGATGGAAGCACGGTTTGTTCAATGGGGGGGGGCTTCTTAATATTTAGCGAAACTTTGTATATACTAACCGCACACGCACTGCGGATCTCATGCTGCAAATCCACTTTTCATCGCCTTGTCAGGTATATAGTTTATTGTTCATGGAGTCAAGTTATTTTCTTTTTTCAAGTGTCGGTTTGTGTAGGGATTCGACCGGTCGCCGACCATTTTTCGACAAGGCAAAAACTTGATATAAATAGATCAATGGATGTGCGAGAGCTGGTAAAATATACTTCCAAGTCAAGGGGAATTCGAACCCAGGACCGACTGAAAATTGTGAAAATGGAGTTCCTTGACGAATAAGTCATTTCTGCTATAAAAAGTGGAAAGCATGCAACATAGATAAGAACGGTACCTACTTGCATGTGAACCGCTTGAAATTGTTGATAAGTTCTTGTATCTGACTAAAAGTGTGAGTGCTAGTGGAGGTGTGATGGATAAGATTTCCAACCATATCATGATGAAAGCTAGGTCACGTAATATTATTTGGCAGTCTCATTAGGGTGTGTAGTCCATGACTGACATCTCCATCTTCTACATATTTGCGGAGTAATAGCTTCTTGCCTGTCAATTATTTTTTTCGTGTGATTTGTGTATTTATCTATTTTTTCTTCTTTCTTTGTATATAAATAGGTGATGAAGAGAAGGAAAGGTGGAAGGTGATATTAGCAGCTCAACAACATAAAGCGCAGAAACGTCGCGGAAGTGGACGGGGTGTAAGTATTATACCTTCTTTTTAAGCATTTGATTGATTATTTTTTTGAGCTGGGTCAAAAATTGATCAGTCAATCACTGTGTATACGAGATGATGGTTTAGCTGTTGCTGACTGGAGAGCCGGTAGAGGCATTCAGTTGATGAGTTGTGAAACGTGCCTGTTGGAATGTCCTTCAGTCTATCTATCGATATATGTATTGATTACATTCAAGTTGCACAGAACACGTTCAAACTTGGATGTTATTATTATTATTATTCATTGGGACCTGAATGGAACATAGAGCTTCAACCGAAGTATTCCTCCATTTTGTTCTCTCTTCTGCTGTCCTCTTTAGCTGGCCAGCCCCACTGTTGCCTACAGTCTCTCACCCCCTTACTATACGATCTTCTCCACGTATCCATCTCCATACGTCACCCTCGGACGACCCAATTGTCGTTTGCAACATTTGTTCCACTTGAACCATGACTTAGTGCGCGAAGTCACTTGACAGTCTGTTCAGTGTGTGTCCAATGCATCTCCATTTTCTCCTATATGTTTGTTGAGCAATAGGTCCTTGGTTGGCTCGTTGTTTGCCAGAGTCTCCTGACTGATCTTCCGCATGAAGGTAACTGTTGATGTAAATATGCATCTGGCTGTTGGGAATGCTCTTCGTGATGCACTGGCCAAGTTTCTAACTTCTATAGAAGAACTAACCAACTTAACACTTGTGTGAAAGGGAGATTTTCAAACTAATTTCAGATTGATGAAGTTATGCCCTGCTTTTCGAATTCCGTCTGACTTTGGCATCCTCACCTACCGGATAAGTGAAGGAAGTGATCTCTTTCATATTTCTTCTGTTGGTGGTGATTGTTGTTTTTGAACCAGACAGGCTTTAGCACAGATAGTGGGTGTGTTGATCATATTTTCACCCTTCGAAAGATTCTCAAACACTAGGCATGCTTATGGCTTCCAACAATCATTATATTTCACGATTTCATCATGAGCTGACAATAGTTAGAGACTAACTAACTAATGTCAGCTCATGATGAAATCGTGAAACCAATCAAATCCCTACAAACCAAACACTTGAATCATCATATTTATTACCCTAAAAGTGGTATTCGATTCCGTAGACCGAGAGCTAATATTGTAGTGTTTGCCTGTGAAGAGAGTACTAGGAAAATACGTTGCTCTAATCAAGACAAGTCACTAGTCGAACTCATGTAGCCTAGTGATAGCCCAATGAACTTAACCCTAACTGACTTCAACTACAAAGAGATTGACTTTTCACCACCAGAGGATAATCTTGTTGATTTGAAATAATACGCGGACAAAATGCAGTCCAGTCTACTGTGAACACCTTGAGAAGCAGCAATCTTGGGATGTTTGGCATGCGATTCATTCCTGTCAAATGTTAGATGATGCTATAGAACTGAACTACATCGACTCCTAGCTGGCTTAAAGATAGGGAGGAGTCAAGTGAAGTATGCTACTAACGGCTTCACTTATTTGAGAAGTTGCAATAGGTCCATAGGATGATCACTGATGAAATCTCTTAACGGACAAAAAACATTCCTTTGGCCGACTTCATTCCATCTCTGTCATTGTTATGATATCGGACTAGCAGGCTATCAATCAAAGGATGTGTTTATTGTACTGTCTTTGATTAGTGGTGCCTGTGTTCTCCCCCCCCATGTTAGGCGGTATAATAGAGTGAGTAAGACGTTTAAAGTGCTGGGTGAGTGGGAAGGAAAATCAATCAAACCAAAACTTGTCTGGTATCAGCGCGTGAGACCTTATGATATAGAGAGGTGTAGACTCGCTGACTTGTTTTCAGCCCTCGAGAATCTAAGAGACAATGACTGAAGGCCTTTTTTGATACGGCTCAAAATCTTTGCCAATGACTAAGATTTTCTCACTCCTTCTGGTCGTCTACCATATCTCCGGAAGGCCTTATAGTTTTTCCCATATTACTTTTCTTTCTTCCTCACATTTCTGCCTAATATAGTACTTTTGAATCCCTTTTTCCGGTTTTGTGTACCTTTGTGTTCTACATGGAGGCAGTGTGGCACCTTGGAGTGCTGCTGAGGTACTTGTGTGTGTGTGTGTGCAAAGTTGTTCTGTATTGTGGAAACTGAGTAAGTCAGGCAGTCATTTTCATTGATCCCTTTTAAAATCTTGTTCTGGTTGTTGTATTAAGGGTGGAAGGCACATGGCCAACAAACGACGTCGTACAAACTGAAGGTTAAGAAAAAGAGGAAGTGGAATGGGTCATAATGAAGAATCGTAAAAATCACATGTTTCATTGTCCTTGATATCATAATTATGTGTGTTTATTAGTCACTTTTCCATTCTATTATCTAACAGCCATGTAAAAAGACATTTTATTTATAAATCACTCATCCGCGCCCTCACTGTGAAGAGTTAAATATATTTCTTGTTTGGATTACTTGTTGGCTTTTTCTCTGTTTTGTATTCATACAATGTGTAGGGAGGGTATGATTTGTTGTTTACGTTCGTGTGGCTGCCATGTGACCGTTGATGTCATTCTCAAGCTGCTGTACAGTAGCGCATATATATGGTAAATTTTCTTAGAAACAAAAAGAATGTTTCCAAGGATGTTTGTCATTAGACTTGCAAATTTAGTAGATAACGAATTATCTAATAAAGCAGATGTTAATGGGGGTAGGAACTGAGTGACGTGATATAACTGAAGAGGTTGAATGTGTGTGGGGGTGATTTCAACTAAAATTGAACGACAGTCAAGTTGACAATAGTATTAGTAAGGGGTAGGAATTCAATGGAAGAGAGTGAGGTAAGGAAATAACACAATAAAAAGAAACAAAATTTGCGTATCCAGTGTTAAGACATCGAGTTTATTGTCTGTGTCGATTCAATGACTGAACAAACTTCTTTTGTCTGTATGCACAGTTTGGGATTTAACATGCACATGGATTGCCATCGCTTCTGCGGTTTGATGAAGTTTGGTCCGTATACTTCTTTATATACAAACCCAATAGTAAAGGGAATACAAATCACATTTGAATCGGAAAATGAACAAGGAGAATTAGCTGAAATGTTAGATTGTAAAATAAAACAAACAGAAGAAAGTTTATCGTCAACGCTTTCTGCTAATAGGCATTTAAACTTTGATTCATCTCATCCGTTGTCTGTAAAAACAGGCTTAATTAAGTGTCTAACAAACCGAGCCATAGTACTAAGTTGCACAAGAAAAGACCTAAATGACGAAATAAAACAGATGGAAGAAGAGTTGGTGTTGAATAACTATCCTATAGAATTCATTATAAGGATCGAAATAAAAACAATGGTAAGACTAGTAATAATACCACAAATAAGAAGGAATACAAGGCATCTACAGTAGTTTTAACATACAGACAGGAGACACCTGAGAGCCTGTATAGGATTCTCAATGAAGCAGAAATTAGTGTGGCTTTCAAACTTAAAAACTCACTCAGAAATAAGCACTCTAGGTTGACCAATTAGACAAAATAATATAGTTTCAAAAATACCTTGCAATCGAAGTGAGTTAGGTCAAATCTCTCCACTCATCTTCTTGTCTACCTTTGTGTGCTATTTGGAACGTGGCAACTCGAACTGCTGCACTTCGGTGCCAAGTTCTATGTTGAATCCAGACAGAGACTAGGTCAAATCAGTAGATCGGAGGTAGTCAGACTGTTAGAACACTAAAATTCAGCTAAGGTTAGTATGATCGACCCTGCGAATATAAGTAATTTAGGAAGATGCACTCAGCAATCGCACTGAATGTGTTAACACACTATAGGCTGGAACAGAGTCACAATTCTAAAAGGTGATATAGGTGGACGGAGAGAGAGAGAGGCTGATTACTCAATCTTCGTTCATCGATTCCACTACATCCGAAACATGCAATATAGATGACTGATCACTGATACCAAGGATATGGGAAATACTGCTTCCAATCAAATTATATAAACGAAGTTGTGTGGGTAGTGCCTTGATACGATTTTGAGCTGGAATAAATTGTGCTCGAAATGTGGTGACCAGTAAATATTACTGTATAACACTGAAAGTCTATCAAAATAAATTTTATCCATGATGCAATCAACCGACTGACTCAATTTGACCTTCAGTCTGCACGCATGATGATCAGTTGTTTGTTGGTTTACAAGACTCATATGTTAGTGACGAGAGTGTAGGAAAGTAACTCGTTAGGCGGGGGAAGATTATTGAACAAATGCAGCCGCCGAATGTGATACTGATAAATCTATCCGAGTGAGTTTGTTGATTAATTATTATTTAAAAATACAAGGAACGTAGTACTTAATTAAATTTCGGGAGAAAATTAAGGAGACGGTTTTATGCGGCAGTTTAAGATCGTGGAAACTGATGGTCAAGGTGGAGAAAGTGTCTGAAGTAATTTCCTTGCTACACATAAGTTAACCTTCTTTAGGGGGGATTTGACAGCCTCAGCTATATATGTCAAAGAAATTGAGGTTTTAAATCAATCACGAACAACAGTTTTTGCAGAATAAGATGTTACCATCATTACTTACTTCGTTGGTTTCTCATCAACTGCGTACAGCTTGCGAATTTCACAGGAAGCTCCAAACCTAATCAACAGTCTCAGAAAATTACATTTATATAGTTTATTCCCAGAGAGTTCAAGTTTAAACATAATATGGTGGAGATACGTAATAAAGACAGGAGGTGAGTAAGGTGACAAGTAACCAATAAAATGATTAACAATATAGTGAGTTCAACTCACCTCAGATCATAGAAACAAGGGATAAGTAAAGTTACACTGTGTCGAAGGGAGGTGAGGTTTAAGCCAAAAATTACGTGAACAAATGAAGGAGAGAGGATAAACGTATCCATTTAGCAGAGGGACTGATAACAAATCGAGTTTCAGGCGTTCGATGGAGATTGCTTCGGCAAACTTGATGAGAATTGACCTATTTGGTTTATTGATAGTTTTGAAAGACTTAGTGAAGTCTATCTCATGATCCGTATTAGGAAGATGCCTAGCAATGGCACTTATGTAAGCGTTTTTTCATTGAGACGTAGACTCCTTGTCGTGCATGTTTAGGAAATCGGATGTGTATGCTCTTTTTGGTGTTCACCCGATGTAACTTTTCCTGCTGATACATGTAATTTCGTGTACACGGTTGCATTTGGTAACATGAGAAATCTACAGTTGAGCTGCAAATAGTCTGTCCCCGATAATCACTAATTCGACGATGAATACTCTTAATTGTACTCCGAGTGTAACTTACTGGGCACTATAGGAGCAGTCAAACTGTGATAGATGTACACAGCAAAGTGGAAGGGGGCAGTATTAGGTAGTTTATGCCTAATTCCCAAACATAAAATTGGAATGATTGTGAGGACGGAGTGAAATTTTGAGGTATTCACTCCTGTTTATGCTGCATACGCCTTTGTATTGTACCATCCTTTTTTCTAGTTGTAAGGACGGCTAGGAATGAAATATTGGCATTTCTTTCTCGATGATGATATTCATTTCAGGATGCACATCGTTAACTTTGTTAATCATGTTTGATCACTTCACCTATTAAGGAAGTTGCATTAGACCCAACGGGCTGACGAAATCTCAACACGGATACAAAAGGCTCGCGTGGCATTTGTGAAACCATATCATCTATGTAGGACACGCGATTCTTGGCTAACTGGCTATCGATCAAAGGACATGCGTACTGCACAGGAGAAGCAGTCCGCTTTGCCCTCCTGTATGGCTGTGAGTAAGACTATGGCTACTGAAAGTGGAAGTTAAGTGAAGACCGGTTAGCTATCTTTGATCATAGATGTCTGCGTTTCATCTCCTTTGTTGGTGAAGTGGTATACTAGGGTGAGTAATATTGCTGTGAGGCATCAATCGAGTTCTACGTAAGATTGTGAAGAAGCTGTGTCGATTGAGTTGGTTAGGATATGTGTGCGTCGGTGGCACAGCGGTTAGGACTCTCGCCGATCATGCACATGGTCCGTGGTTCGATCCTCTGCCGACGCACACCTGATATCTATGGTCGGCCTGCAAAATTTAGGCTACCAATATCACATGCTGAAAATTTGATACTTGTACCGAAAATACGGTGTGGAGTCAAGCTGTAATCAAAAATAAAAATAGTTAAGCATACTAGGCTACCCGTCGATTGTCTTCCTCAACGGGAATGTTATGTGAGCTGACATAGGCTGGATAAGGTTTGGAAAAGAGTTAGCTAGTGGTGGGTGGTCAGACCAAAACATGGCTCCATCAGTCAATGAAATCCATAACAGCAGTTAGTTTAAACCAGCCTGCCCACCCTTCAGGTTGAGGTCCTTGGAAGACTATTGGTGATATACTTCAAAACTGTTACCAAATGGCATAGTTGTAAGCATTCAAACGCTATGTTCTGTCTTATCCTTGTTACTATTCTTTCCCTGTCACTTTTCTGCCTATGGTCGTTCTTTCAAGTCTCATTTTTCCCCCTCTTTTGCCTTCTTTTGCGTTTTTCATGGAGGCAGTATGGTAACTTGAATTAGTGGTATGCTTCTGTGCAAAGTAATTCTATGTTGAAACCAGTCATTCAACCAGTTCTTTGCTTCATTCGTATTTTTCATATTCAGAAATGTGTCATTAATCTAACAGCAAGCGGAATTTTAGTTCACCATTTACATGTTTCAAAGATAGGTTCATTCTCTAGTTTTACTAAGAAAATATCATCTACAAACTGGTCTTAATGGTGACACCATAGCCATACTATTTATCAGCTGGTCTGTAGAATTGACTTATTAAGTATGAAAAACAATTAAATGGACATTTGTATTGTGCATCTACTAAATTAAGCTTTCTCATGAAAGTTAAAGGTATGCCAACCTCAATGTCCTATCAAAATATGTTCTTTTTGCGCATATGAAATCTACCGTTCCCATCAGCGGTACTACAATCAATAATGGATAGAGGAGATATATCATCGACTGATATCATGAAATTCAAGTGTATCCTATAGGTAGGTTATTGTCTTACCAATTCAGTATGTAGAGGCTGTGAGAGTTTGACTAACCATTTTGGCTGTCGAATGATATATGGGTAGTCAGAACAAGATGATTTTGAGCGAACAACTGGTTTCGATAAATTCTTCTGCAGCCTGCCTACAGTAATAAATCCATGAGTGTTATAATACAAGTAGCCATTAAAGGCATGTGAAAATTACATCGGAAACTTTATTGGGCTACGTGTATAATAATGGA